AGCTGGTGGATGAGATAGTGAAACATTTCCCTGGATATCCTAAGCGCTGGACGAATTTGGGAAAAGATAGGGCATACTTTACATCTTGAATCTCAGGCTCCAGTACAGGTATTACATCAATGGCATCATTGCCATCAAGCAGTGAAAAAATTTGGCTCAGATGCTTCAGCAGGGCAACAACTAACCACAAGCCCCACACCTGATTAGGATCAAGTAAAAACAGTGCCTCCGAAAGCATCTTTAACTGGATTTTCAGCTCCTTTTGAAGAGGCTAATTCTTTTGCCTCCTTACGGCCATCATACACCCCCGTAAAGAAAATATTAGAGGAAAAATCTTGAAGTAGAAAAAATATATATGGGGAATCGTCAGAGGAGTTTAAAGAAACAAATTAACTCAAAATGTACTCCTCTTCAATGTGTTTTGAACAATTGGGATGTTTTGAAATTTCAAGTAGCTGTTAAGTTTAACCCTGTCAGACAATGTCTGACGGTGCTTTGTGTTGATGTGTAGAAGTATAAATAATATTTAACAAGACAACACTGAAAAAGTTTGTAAACTTCCAGTTGGCTAGTTTATCTGATAACAACTAAAGCCACAGAAGAAAAAGAAAAGAAAATTCAAAGAACTGAAAGCAATTTTTTTTCCTTCCCTTTCCCCCCTTTTAATCTGGCTCTATTCAATTTCCCTTTGTAAGAGGTGAGGAGAGGAGGCTACTACTTTTCCCTCACCCTTCACACCTTCAATATTCCTTTTAGTTTTTCCCCAATGTCTTTTGAAGTTGCTGGGATAAATTGGAAGTAACCATAAATGTTCCCCTCCTTTTTAATTAAAAGGGAAGGCCTGTTTTAGCCTCAAACCCCAAATTGATGTGTGTTTTGTTTGTGTATATGTGTGGCTACCCAGAACATTATGCTTGGGCTTGGAATGGTGAGAAAAACAGGAGATGATTAAGGGCCCTATAAACAACCCACTTTGGGTTGGAATCATCTCATGATTTTTCTTGCTTCTTGCAGGACAAGCCATATGTCTAAATAAATGTTGTTTTAATAGTATTTGTGTATATATGTTTGTCTGTGTTCTGTGTTATTTCCAAGACTTGGAAGAGGGTCAAACCCTCTCTGATAACAACAATACAAAAAGGCGTTATTAAGGAATACATGGTTTGCCTGGAGAAAGTATGAAATGAAATATTTGTATGTGGAATTGTTTATACAAGCAGCTAGAATAAAAATGAATGAATTAATTTGTTGATACCTAAGTGTGTGTGTTAGCCTTCAAACCCTATCCTCCACCCACTCCCTCCCAGGCTGTAAAAGAAATAGAAAACTGCAGATTTTATTGTTGTAATTGAAAAGTAATAGTAAGTGTTTGCATGAGAAAAGTCCCATGGAGAATTGTGAGAGAATTTATGAAAAATGCATGTGAAGGAGAGAAAACTATTTTTTAGTGGTGAGAAGTTTGTAACAAAAACTTTTCCTGTCTCTTTTGTTTTTCAACTGGCTGTGTTGCTTTAAGAGCAAGAGACAGAAAGAAGAGGGGGGGGGGAACTGTTCGTTTAAAACTTTTTTTCCTCTCTGCTTAGAATTCCAGTTTGCAAATGGAGATGAAATTTAATGCCCTCTCTTGTAGTTACAAAGATTACAAAGTTCTACTCGAAAGAGGAGACAGTAATTGTTGGACAATTTTTTGGGGGAAAAATTGTTGAGTTTCAATTGTTTAGTTAGACCTATATATCCATCAACCAAAAGAAATGACTCTGAATTGTTTTACTTAAGTTTTGTAAATGTTTAACCTACTTAATAGAAATTTGTTTCCATCTTTGATTAACTTGGAATTTGACTTATTGACCAAAGGAAAACAACCTGGAGATCTTATTGTAGTTCTACTTGCAGCATTTACCACAGTTGAGCGAATTAAGTACTTGAGTACTCAGTTTGTGGACAGAATTCCACATAAAAATGGTCATTTAACACTTTTTGATATTTCTTACTGTAAACTACTTACGGGAGTATTAACTGTGTTAGAAGCGCAAAAAGTATATTGTATTGAATGGCTTTACTTATTCCCATTCCAAAATGTTTTATCTTTTATCCAGGCTGTTGCTGAAATAATAACCTTAGGACACAATCGAGCTTGTCCTTGAAATGGGACTGATTTAATTAATATTGTCCTTCCTATCCCAAAATTTGATTTTCAATTTGATTTTCAGAATGACATCTCTTCAATGCTCTTTAGTTGACTATATAGGCTTTATTTCATATCATCTGCCTACACTGCAGTGCAATCCTCATCACAACGCTCAGAATTATCTGCTGCTATTTTAGCTTTCCACACCTTTTCTCAACAGACTTTTAACTTAATCTCTGACTCTCATTATGTGTGCTTATTTTTAATTTTCCAGGTGCTTACATCATGCCCAGGATTGACCCCAATCTTATGGCTTTGTTTTTACAGCAGCTATCCTTTGTTTCTCACATACGCATCGGTCCTTTAAGGACTGCCTTCACAAACAAATAAAAAAGGAGGGATCAAGGATACCTAATTTGGCATGGATAACTCATCAAGTCAATAAAGTCCTAATAACTTTAAATCAGCTAAATATTTCTTTTCAAAAAACTACTGCCTACCAGGGTCACTTTCAGCAGAAAGCTGTGCTCCCTAATCCATTGGTATGTTATCGGCAATTACCTGAAAAAACCTGGTTAGGTCCAATTCCCTTACTAACTTGGGGGCGAGGCTATGCTGCTGTGCTTGCTCCTACCGGCCCTCTCTGGATTCCAGCCCAGTGTGTGCAACCAGCCAAAGATGTCATGGCATCAAGTCCAGAACCCAATACTGGAAATGAAGCAGGTGACTCTTCAGATAGCACAACATCCCTTTCGTTCTCACCATTGCAATTGACCAACAACTGGGGCGATATGAAAAACCTAACATCCAAAGCACAGATGGTTCTGTGGCAACAGGGAAAAGAACTTACACCAGAGAATTTATGCGTTGCCATATTTGTGGTTTTGACTGCAAATTCCTTAGTCATTCTTTGCCTTTCTTTCCTTCTTAATTGCTGTGGGAGCTCAAGCTCTCCCACTCATTCTTTAGAATCACAGATGAAATATAATATTTGGGTGCAATTAGCTAATGTCACACAAGTGACAGACTTTTGTATTTCTGAATCATATGATATGGAAAATCTACTCTCTACCTGTCTTATACCTTTGTGTGTTCCAGCTTCAATTTCAAAAAAATTATACTGGTTTAAGCAATTTTCTATCAGACAATGAATTTCGTTATGCAACTATGTCAAACTGGGGTCCTATCTCTTATATGTTACCCTTTGATGCTATTGTTTTGCATACACCAATTGTAGCTGTTCCTACAAATCTTATTTGTGCAAAAATTGTCAATTGTGCTACTTCACCTAAAAAATTTCATTGTATACATGTCAGTCAAAGAATTTTAAATTGTACCTCCTTTCAAGAGGTATCCTTTAATTATGCACATATATGGTTATTCAATGTCTTTTTTTTTCTCTACTTTCAATTTTCCATACTAAACTACCATTAACTTACCTCAGGAACAAGTTATGGTTTGTATAAACAAATGCAAAGTTATATGTCCCCTGACTAAGACCCACTAACTCAGTGGTTCTCAACCTTTTTAATGCCGCAACCCCCAACTGGTCGTAAGTCGAGGACTACTCAACTGGTGCAGCACTGTTTGCAGAATGGGACTTTTGGCGGGCTCAGCAGGGCAGAGACAGCCTGGACAATTCCTATTGGCTTTTGAAAGCCAATAGAATTAGACTCTATTCAAGAGAGCCTATTCTATTGGCTTTCAAAAGCCAATAGAATAAAAGGGAGTAGCACAGCTAAGGAAAAGGGGAAAAAAATGGCGGACTGCGTTGTTTGGCGACCCCCATGAAATGGTCGTTCGACCCCAAATGGGGTCCCGACCCACAGGTTGAGAACCACTGCACTAACTACTCCAGCTTAGGATAATGTCCTCACTAATCAAACAGAGAAGAGTGAGATGTGGGGGGGGGGGGGGGAAAGCACGCGCAGCAAACTGCCATGCTCTCCCCCCCCACAATCCTCATAACCTTTTGATACCCTTTGTCCCAATGAAGCAGCCAGAAGATCATCCCCTTTTGACTTAATGCCTTACCTACCTAAATAGATAATATGCTTAGTTCCTTCTCCTATCTCTTCCTGTCTTTGTTAGTTCCTTCTGCTTTTCATCCCCCTGTATTTGTTTTTACCTGGTCTTTGAACAGGTAATATGTTACTAGAAAAGAAACAGGTAATATGTTACATAAAGAAACTTTATGTCAGCATCTAATGGTTAAACTTATGAATGTAAAATGACAGCATTTAATGGTAAAGCCTATGTATGTAAAAAGTATATAAAAACCAATAAACACACAGAGACTCTCAAGCTGTGACAAGCAGCTCTGCAGCAGCTTCAAACCTCTGCTCAAGACATGCGTCTTTACAGTTGCCAAGCATTTGAAATTTAGAAGTCACTTTCTTCGTTGGCCTTGTGACTTTGAACGGTCACTAAATGAGATTTAAGTCGAGGATTGCCTGCGTCTTGGGGGTTATACTTGTCCCGTAAGCCCAATGGGATGAAATGCTCTGGGCAGAGGCTTTTAGGAGAGAGGAACCAGTGGGAATTCTGGAAGGAAGGTGAAAGTCTGGCTGAGTTGGGAGGAGACGAGAGGAAGGACACGTTGACAGATGACAAGAAACTTGGAAATTATGTTTGCTTAAATGTGACAGCGCCCACAGAGGAGGATCTGTAACCCCTTTGCCATTGCAAGGAGCCACCTGCTCGGTCCCTCCTGATCACTCCTGAGGACCCTTCTGGGGTGGGGAGGGGGAGGGAAGACCCTGAAGGGATCGGATAGAGCCAGGGTGAGATTTACCCACCAGCAGGGAAGCTTCACTGGAAGAATAATAATCTCCCATATCATATTTCTGCATGCCACAGAAACATCATGAAAGTAGGTAATACATTCATTTTTAATCACAGAAATTCTCCCCAACAACAGTTGTAATTTCCACTTCTTAATACATCCTTCTTGATTTCATCCCATCCCTTAACATAATTATTTTGACATACAATTTTTCCATTAACATTTTTGTTCCTTACAAAAAGGTTTTCCAAAATTACTACAAAATTATCAGCAAATGCCCTTCTTTTCCCCAGCCATCTGTCTGCTGTGCTGTAGGATATTTATTCCATGTTTCTATTTATTTCCTGAATTTGTTAATCCTGCCCAACTCCAAAAAGACTCTCGGTCACTTAGCACAAACCCTTTCCCTCTTTGCAGTTTTTCTCTCAGAAGCTCCTGACTTTGAACTGGGCTCCTGACTTGCCTTAACCCCATCTTGCCAGACCCAGAGAGAGACCCTCCCTTTCATTGTGCTTGTCTCAGCTAAAAGCCCACACCTGGCCAGCCTTGGCCACTCCAGGAAAGCTCAGCAGTGCTGGATGGGAGACCACCAGGAGGTCCTTATGCTCTCGGCTGGCTAGGAGATAAATACACATTCAAGAGGAAAATGGGATCCTCCTGTCATTTTAGGTGCAACGGAATCACAAGGCAAATTCCATCACCTCATATTATCTGAGGCATCTAAACTGAGTTTTCTCCTTCTCTTTCGGGCCCCAAAATTTTAATATCCAAAATGAAAAGTAAAAAAATCAGAAACAAAATTTTGGTTTCTGCTGAAGCATTTGTGAAACCTCTCCTGTGCGGACGCTTTGGTGTACAAAAAGCACAAGAAACTGGGACAAAAAATTACCATTCTGGTTTCGTATGTTATGGTTCTGAAAAAAGCAACTTGTCAAAGAACTTTGAGCTTTGTTTACCTTAAAGAATCCTTTTTTGCTACATAGCTTCGGCACGTACATAATGCAGCCAAAAACTGAATCCTCCCACCCCCAATCACCCGTAACAAAGCATAACTCACTCCTTCATTTCACAGTCATCAATCATGTTCTCCAATTAGTTTGAAGTGTGAACTTTTCCTCCCGTAACTCTTCTGGTTACAACTGACCTTGGCAATACTGTACTGAAATATTGTTGTGGCTAACTATCCCCCGAGTACATACTTTCCCATCTGCTATTCTAACTTTATCTGACTTTAACTCTAGAAGTGATATGCAGGTTAAATAAAACGTGTTTGCTTCTTCATATATGGCAAGCAAGAACATCCGATGTTAGCAGTCTTGACATCGTCATTGTGAAGGTTTCCCCACACCAAAAAACTGTAGCATTTCCCTTCTGGGACTGTGTGAAGTTCCTGGTGAATTATAAGATGTGACGTTTCAAAAAATGTTTTCCACATTCCTCACAACTGAAGGGGTTTCTCTCTATTATGGACTTTCTGATGCCTTTTTAGGTGAGATTTACTATGAAAGGTTTTCTCACACTCTGCACACTTGTAAGGCGACTCCCCTGTGTGACCTCTGGTGTGCTTGCGAAGTGATGAAGTTTGGGCAAAACATTGCCCACACTCTGGACATTTATATGGTTTTTCTCCAGTGTGGGTTCGCTGATGCTTCAAAAGAGTACTTTTTTGAGAAAAACATTTATCGCACTCCGAGCATTTATGGGGCTTCTCTCCTGTATGGGTTCGGCTGTGCTTTTTAAGGGAATGTGAATGAGCAAATGCTCTCCCACAATCTAAACATTTGTAATTTCTTTCCCCTGTGTGAGTTTTTACATGACTTCTAAGGTCTGATGTGGTAGAATAAAATTGTCCACATTCGATGCATTTATATGGTTTCTCCCCTGTGTGGATTTTATGATGTCTCCAAAGGCCTCCCTTTCGAGCAAAACATTTCCCACATTCGAAGCATTGATATGGCTTCTCTCCTGTGTGGACCCTCTGATGCCTTCCAAGGCCTTCTTTTTGGGTAAAGCATTTCCCACACTCCTCACATTTGTATGGTTTTTCCCCTTTGTGGATTCTCTCGTGACGCTGAAACTCTCTTTGTGTAAGAAAACCTTTCCCACATTCCCCACATTGATAGGGTTTCTCCCCATTGTGCTCCTTCTGGTGTCTCCGAAGTAGAGAAACATACATAAATCCTCTCTCACATTCTGGGCATTCATAGGGTCTCTCTCCGGTATGAATTCTCTGATGTTGCACTAGGTTTGATTTTGAGATAAAACATTTCCCACATTCAAAGCATTGATATGGCTTCTCCCCTGTGTGGGTTTTATGATGTGCACTAAGGTTTCCCTTTCGAGCAAAACATTTCCCACATTCAAAGCATTGATATGGCTTCTCCCCCGTGTGGGTTTTATGATGTGTCCAAAGGTGTCCCTTTTGAGCAAAACATTTCCCACATTCTAGGCATTGATATGGCTTCTCCCCTGTGTGGGTTTTCTGATGTGTCCAAAGGTGTTCCTTTCGAGCAAAACATTTCTCACATTCTAGGCATCTGTATGGCTTCTCTCCTGTGTGGATTCCCTCGTGACGCTGAAGCTCTCTTTGTGTAACAAAACCTTTCCCACGTTCTCCACATTGATAGGGTTTCTCCCCTTTGTGCCCCTTCTGATGCCTCTGAAGTAGAGAAGGAAACATAAATCGTCTCTCACATTCTGGGCATTCATAGGGTCTCTCTCCGGTGTGATTTCTCTGATGTTGCACCAGGCTTGATTTCGAAATAAAACATTTCCCACATTCGAGGCATTTTTCGTTTTTTTCCCCTCTGTGTGTTTTTGCATGACTCCAAAGACCTGAACTCAGGGTGAAACATTTTCCACACTCAAAGCATTTGTATGATTTTATTCCTGCATGAACCTTCTCATGGGCCCAAAGACTTGCCCTCCGAGAAAAGCTCCTCCCACATTCCCAACACTTGTAAGGTTTCTCCCCTGTGTGAATTCTCTCGTGCTTTCTGAGACTGCCTCTTTCACTGAAGAAATTCCCACATTCCAGACACTGATAGGGTTTCTCTCCAGTGTGGATTTTCTGATGTCTAAGAAGGTGTGACCTTTGACCAAAGCATAAGTTACATTCCTCACATTTATAGGGTTTTAGTCTGGGGGCCCTTCTGAAATTTTTCATGTCTTTTCCAGAGGAGGATTTATCACCCTCCAAACCTTCACTGGATCCGCTTCTCACATGGAACTTCCTGTGGGTCAAAAGGAGGGACCGGCAAGCAAAGGATTTCCCACACTCTGAGCATTCATGGGTTCTCTTGTGGTTTTTAAGAGTGCTGCTTGTGTCTGACGGGGGATCCGAGAGTTTCCCAGGCTCCATCCTTTCTGGAACTGGCTGCCTTGGGCTGATTTTCTACTATCTCTTGAAAGGTGACTTGCAGGTGAATCTTTGGTCAGAGTTGTTTTCCTGCTGGAGGAAAAAGAAAGAAGATGAGAATAATGTTTCCTGTTGAGAATGGTAGAGAATCACAATATCTTAGTCTTGGAAGGGACCATGAAGGTCCTCCAGTTCACCCTCTGACCAGGTTAGAGGTCCGCAGTACACCCCAGACAAAACCTCCATGGATTCCATCACCCCAGATCCCTCGGAGGCAAATTCTCCTGCTGTTCACTGACTCTATCTTTTCCTCCTTGGTTCTCATCCTATGACGAGGTGAAAAAGAATCTCTGAAACTTTAGGTAGTCCTCAATTTGTGACCAAAATCGGGACTGGAATCTTGGTGTGTCCAGGAAAGTAGGAGTTATGTGAGGGTCACACGGCCACTTCGCTCACCAAGCACAATCCCACACTCCTGCTTACAGTCATTAAAACATCTTGAGGGTTCTTAAGTGGAGGAAGGGCCAGGAAAGGGATGTGGGGGTGTCTGGGGGTGGACTGGTCCTAGAGAGCAGGCACAAGCCCTCCCCCATGAGTTGGGGGGGGGCTGAAGTGGGATGGAAGCCGGAGCTGCTCCATCCAGGCCATGAAAAGCAGCCTCAATTGACATCAATGCCAGGTCTGGCCCTTAAGTGGAGGCCTGGGGCCTTCAGCCATTTCTGCCAGTGGACACTGACCCCAGGCCTGGACTTTAGCCCAGTGTCACCACGACCACTGAGAAATGAGGCGTTAATCCCCACACCGGAGCCTTTGCAGCCTTGCGCCATTCTCCAAGCCGCCTGTTCCGTACATGTTTCCAAGCCATGCGCCCCAAAGTCAATGTGTCCCTGAAGTCAAAAGTAGCCTGTGCTGAGACTCACATGGCCTCTCCTGCCTACTTCAGACAACCCCACATTCCTCTGCTTAACGACATGTGAAATCGGCTTCCTTGGCTTAAGGCACTGAAACAGATGTAATTCACTTTATCCCTTCATCTCTAGGCCAGACATGTCAAACATAAGGTCCGTGGGCTGGATGCGGCCCAGGGAGGGCCCAGATTTGGCCCCCCGGGGCTGTCCCAGAAATGGCAAGCGACCGGCCCCCGCTGCCCCAGCCCTGGCCCACCTCAACCCAGCTGGGTGCCTTGGTCAGGCCTGGTCAGGAGTGGAAGAGGAGGAGGCGGAGGAAGCTGAGGTGTTACAAAAAAGGAGAGCTTCCAACTTTCTCCCCCCTCCTGTTTTTATTAACCTTTGTTTCTGGGTGGTGTTTGTGTGTGTGTGTGTATGTGAGAGGGAGAGAGATTGAGCCAGCAGAGAGTTGCAGAGTAAGCAAACTTACAAAAAGGGGATCTCTCTCTCTCTTTCTCTCTCATACACATACATTTGTTTCTTCTGCCTAATTTATTAAATCAACATCTAATTTGAAATTAAAAGTTTCTGAGAAATCCAGGGTGGTTTACAAGAAAACTCTCAAAGACCGCTATTGTAAAGCATCACTAGCACTGCTTAAAACAATATTAAAAGTATGTATTTTATGAAAGAAAAATAGTAGTAGTAATTCACTTAGTGCTGTTTGACCATAAAATGTGTTGTTGTTTTACATATCCCTGGCTGAACAGTGTGTTTGGAGTTGCCTCTAAACGGGTGAGGGTTGCACTGTCCATATTTTCCTTGGGAGAAAGTTTTATAATGGGGGTGCTGTCTCTGAGAAGGCTCTGCTTGTGGCCACTGTGCTATAAACCAAACCAGGGGGACCATCTGGTCTAAATGGATGGTAAACATAGATGATTAGGGGGCTGGAGGCTAAAACATATATGACAAATGTTTTGGGAATTGGGTATGTCTAGCTTAGTGAAAAGGACTAGGGGTGGTGACATAATAGCAGTGTTCCAATATTTGATGGGCTGCCACAGAGAAGAAGGGGTCAACCTATTTTCCAAAGCATCAGAAGGCAAATAATAGATGGAAACTAATCAAGAAGAAAACCAGCCTAGAACTAAGGACTTGTGAAAACAACTAACCCGTGAAAAGGCTTCCCTTCAGAAGTTGTGGATGCTCCATCACTGGAGGCTTTTAGTAGAGACTGGATCTTCCATTGTCTGGAGTGGTCTATGTGCCCTGCTTGAGCAGGAGCTTGGACTAAAGACCTGAAAGGTCTCTTCCAACTCTTATTCTTTGGGAGAAGGGCTGCCAACCTCTCCCCCTCCCCCTGTCCCTTCCTGGGCACAGGAAGGAAGGAAGGAAGGAAGGAAGGAAGGAAGGAAGGAAGGAAGGAAGGAAGGAAGGAAGGAAGGAAGGAAGGAAGGAAGGAAGGAAGGAAGGAAGGAGGGGAGGAAGGAGGGAAACAGGAAAAAAGTAAGGGTAGAAAGGAAGGAGATGGGAATGAAAAGGAGGGAGGCAGGGAAGAAGGGGAGGGAGGAAGGAAGGAAAGAAGGAAAGAGGGAAGGAAGGAAAGGAAGAAAGAGAAAGAAAGAAAAATAAATAAATAAATAAATAAATAAATAAAGAAAGAAAGAAAGAAAGAAAGAAAGAAAGAAAGAAAGAAAGAAAGAAAGGGAGAGTCTGAGGGAAGTCCTGCTTTAGCACTTGGCCACCAGCAGCCCTGTTGTTCTTTTGCCATCCCCTGGTGGTCTCCCATCCTATTGCTGAGGATGCTTTGGTTACAAAGCCAGGTTTCCTCACATGGAAAGGGAGTGGGCCTCCCTCTGACCCACGCACTTTGTCCTCCAGCACCCACCAAGAGCAACCTGGCCAAGGAGAGTGAGCATAGCAGCAGCAGCATTGAGGAGGAGGTAAGTGCAGCCGGGCGCCCCCTCGGGGAAGTGCGGCTAAGCTAGGCAGGGCTGTGGGGTCCTGATGCCATGGGAGCTCAAGGGCCGGGCTGGGCACTTGATCTTTGCTGTCCAGGGCTGTGGGCAGTCCATGCCACTGTCCAGCGGCCCCGTGCACAGCCTGAGGCTCAGTGAGGCTCTTCCAGTGGACCATGCCCTGTCGCTCGCCCCCCCCCCGTCCCACCCATCCTTCCCCACCCTCGGATGCGCCTCATTCCTGCCCAGGCCCCCACAGGTGCCCCTGACATGAGTGACATGGAGCTGGCCACGCCCACCCAATAGGCCACGCCCACGCCAACCAAATCCACCCGGCCCCCCAATGGCAATCACTGAACTCAAAGGATGTTTGTGCGTTAAGAAAACAACGAACTCCATTCAGTTAATTTAACCCTTTTTCTTTCCCCCCAAAGTCTCCTTCGCTATCGAAATGAGGTCAGTCCGTTTAAAAAAATTACATTACAAATCTCTCTAAACCTTTTAAAGATCCGTTTGCTACATTTTTGCAGCTGCACGTGACGGACCACAGAGAGACCTTCTGGAGCAACTTCCCCAAAAGCTCCTTCCCGGATCCACCCGAAGCCCCGCCGGGAGCCTTGGCCGGGCGAGGAGGGGGCAGATCCAGCCCGGGGAGGGATCCCCCTTTGCCCCCCTGGAGGGAAGGGAGGGATCCGCTCCCTGCAGGCGACGCCAGAGCCGAATCTCCCCAAGGAAAACCCGGCAAGCCGAAGAGGCGGATCCGCAGCTACCTTTCTCCTGGCGGGGGGGGGGGAAAGCTCTCCTGGCGGGAGGGGCGCCCCAAAGGCCGGAGGGGGAGCAGCCAGACCTCGCCGAAGTAAGACCCAGAAGCCTCTCCCGAGGGATCCGGCGCCGATCCTGCCAGGGCGAAGCGAGACAGCCGGAAGGAAGCGGAAATCCACCGAGTGGGAGGGTCGAGGCGGGGGGGCGGGGCTTCTGCTCTCCTCTCGCCCACCGCTTTCCACCCCGCCCCTTAGCGATCTCAGCTCCTCTCCCTCCCTTCCCCTCTCCGCCTTCCCAGCCGTTTCTCCGCTGGGCATCCGCCTCCGGAGTTCCTCTGCCCATGCGAAGAGTGCCCTGCTGTGCCCGGGCGGGGCTGCCTCCTGCTCCACCATCTGGGTGGAAACTGAAGCTCCGCGATGGCTTTTTGGGGGGAGGCAGGAGCGACAGGAACCCCCCCCCCGGTCCCTTCGAGGAGGGCTCCTCTCCGGCTGGGAGTTTGCATCTCCCTCAATTGCGGTTGAACAAAATGGAGTAAGCGGAGCTGTAAAACATGTATTGAGATTTGTAATGTCGTATTAACCGAATTGATCTCATTGCAACGGGGAAGAGAGGGTTTGAAAGAAAGAAAGAAAGAAAGAAAGAAAGAAAGAAAGAAAGAAAGAAAGAAAGAAAGAAAGAAAGAAAGAAAGAAAGAAAGAAAGTTTAAATTAATTGGGTTCCTGTTGTCTTAGCCCACAAAAGGAATCCTCTTTCTTTCCGCTCTCTCTAAAAGGCGAAAGTAAAATCCTTCGTTTTGATGCTAATCTTTACTTTGCTCCTCCGGCCCCGGGTGTGGAGAAGGCGACGTCGGTAGAGACCCCCCCCCCAAAAAAACCCACCTGGAGGGATCCATAGGAGAGGCAGAGGGGGAGATGGAGGGGGGGATAAAGACGTTTTGGGACTCGGCTTCTGCATGTCCCCCCCCCACACCCAGGGAGGCTCCCCCCCCGGGGAAGGGACCCCGGGCTAGCGCCTCCCTCTCCGTCCTCAGACGGGGAGGGGTTCCTGTCGCTCCTGCCTCCCCCCCAAAAGCCATCGCGGAGCTTCAGTTTCCACTCAGATGCTGGAGGAGGAGGCAGCCCCGCCCGAACACAGCAGGGCACTCTTCGCATGGGCAGAGGAACCCGGGTGGCGGATGCCCAGCGGAGAAACAGGGAAGGGAGGGGGGGAGGCTGGGGAGGCGGAGAGGGGAAGGGAGGGGGAGGAGCTGAGATCGCTAAGGGGCGGGGCGGAAAGCGGTGGGCGAGAGGAGAGCAGAAGCCCCGCCCCCCGCCTCGACCCTCCCACTCGGTGGATTTCCGCTTCCTTCCGGCTGTCTCGCTTCGCCCTGGCAGGATCGGCGCCGGATCCCTCGGGAGAGGCTTCTGGATCTTACTTCAGGGAGGTCTGGCTGCTCCCCCTCCGGCCTTTGGGGCGCCCCTCCCGCCAGGAGACCTTCCCCCCCCGCCAGGAGAAAGGTAGCTGCGGATCCGCCTCTTCGGCTTGCCGGGTTTTCCTTGGGGAGATTCGGCTCTGGCGTCACCTGCAAGGAGCGGATCCCCCCCTTCCCTCCAGGGGGGCAAAGGGGGATCCCTCCCTCCCCGGGCTGGATCTACCCCCTCCTCGCCCGGCCAGGGCTCCCCGCGGGGCTCCGGGTGGATTCGGGAAGGAGCTTTGGGGAAATTTCTCCAGAAGGTCTCTTTGTGGTCCGTCACGTGCAGCTGCAAAAATGTAGCAAACGGAGCTTTAAAAGATTTAGAGATATTTGTAATGTGATTTTTTTAAAACGGACTGACCTCATTGCGATAGCGAAGGGAGAATTTGGGGGAAAGAAAAAGGATTAAATTAACTGAATGGAGTTCGTTGTTTTCTTAACCCACAAAAATCCCCCTTCCTTTGAATTCAGTGTAAAAGGCGAAAAAGAAAATCCTTTGTGTGTAGGGTTGTAGGACGAAAACGCAACCCCCCCTCCGGAAAAAGCCCCCCCCCGTTTATGACAAAAGTCTTTGAAGAGATAGAAAAGCCAAAGTAAATTGCACGAGCCGCAAAAGGGAAAAAGTAACACCATCTCCGTTTTTTTTTCCTTCCACTCGAAGCTGCCTGATAAATAGCCTCGGGCAGACTGGCGCCGGCTTTAGCCTTAAAAAAAAAAGCTGCAATGTTGCAATCAGAGGTCTTGAATAGCTTTAATTGTTGTGAAAGCAGAAACAAGGACTGCAGCCTGTTAACGTCCAGAAATGGCTCTCCAGAGGCTCTAGACCTCAGCATCAGCATCGAGGTTGCCATTGGGGGGCCGGTTGGGTGTGGCTGGCATGGGCGTAGCCTACTGGATGGGCGTGGCCAGCTCCATGTCACTCGTGTCAGGGGCACCTGTGGGGGCCTGGGCAGGAATGAGGGGCATCCGAGGGTGGGGAAGGGTGGGTAGGACAGGGCCGAGCACCAGGGCATGGTCCACTGGAGGAGCCTCAGGCTTTGCACGGGGCCCCTGGACAGTGGCATGGACTGCCCAGAGCCCTGGACAGCAGAGGTCAAGTGCCCAGCCTGGCCCTTGAGCTCCCACTGCATCAGGACCCCACAGCCCTGCCTAGCTTAGCCGCACTTCCGTGAGGCACCGCCCAGCTGCACTTACCTCCTCCTCAATGCTGCTGCTGCTATGCTCACTCTCCTTGGCCAGGTTGCTCATGGTGAGTGCAGGAGGACAAAGTGCATGGGTCAGAGGGAGGCCCACTCCCTCTCCATGCGAGGAAACCTGGCTTTGTAACCAAAGCATCCTCAGCAATAGGATGGGAGACCACCAGGGGATGGCAAAAGAACAACAGGGCTGCTGGTGGCCCAGTGCTAAAGCAGGACTTCCCTCAGACTCTCCCTCCCTCCCTCCTCTCCCTCCTTCCTTCCTTCCTTCCTTCCTTCCTTCCTTCCTTCCTTCCTTCCTTCCTTCCTTTTTCTTTCTTTCTCTTTCTTTCCTTCCTTCCTTCCTTCCCTCTCTTTCCTTCCTTCCTCCCTCCCCTTCTTCCCTGCCTCCTTTTTATTCCCATCTCCTTCCTTCCCTTACTTTTTTCCTGTTTCCCTCCCTCCCTTCCTTCCTTCCTTCCTTCCTTCCTTCCCTCCTTCTCTCTGTGCCCAGGAAGGGACAGGGGGGAGGGGGAGAGGTTGGCAGCCCTTCTCCCAAAGAATAAGAGTTGGAAGAGACCTTTCAGGTCTTTAGTCCAAGCTCCTGCTCAAGCAGGGGACATAGACCACTCCAGACAATGGAATATGCAGTCTCTACTAAAAGCCTCCAGTGATGGAGCATCCACAACTTCTGAAGGGAAGCCTTTTCACTGGTTAGTTGTTTTCACAAGTCCTTAGTTCTAGGCTGGTTTTTCTTCTTGATTAGTTTCCATCCATTATTTGCCTTCTGATGCTTTGGAAAATAGGTTGACCCCTTCTTCTCTGTGGCAGCCCATCAAATATTGGAACACTGCTATCATGTCACCAGCCCTGTTCCTTTTCACTAAGCTAGACATACCCAATTCCCACAAAATTTGCCATATATGTTTTAGCCTCCAGCCCCCTAATCATCTATGTTTACCATCCATTTAGACCAGATGGTCCCCCTGGTTTGGTTTATAGAACAGTGGCCACACGCAGAGCCTTCTCAGAGACAGCACCCCCATTATAAAACTTTCTCCCAAGGAAAATATGGACAGTGCAACCCTCACCCGTTTAGAGGCAACTCCAAACACACTGTTCAGCTAGGCATATGTAAAACAACAACACATTTTATGGTCAAACAGCACAAAGTAAATTACTACTACTATTTTTCTTTCATAAAATACATACTTTTAATATTGTTTTAAGCAGTGCTAAGTGATGCTTTACAATAGCGGTCTTTGAGAGTTTTCTTGTAAACCACCCTGGATTTCTCAGAAACTTTTAATTTCAAATTAGATGTTGATTTAATAAATTAGACAGAAGAAACAAATGTATGTGTGTGAGAGACAGAGAGAGAGAGAGAGATCCCCTTTTTGTAAGTTTGCTTACTCTGCAACTCTCTGCTGGCTCAATCTCTCGCTCTCATATAAACACCCCCACACACACAACCAAACACACACACAAAGGTTAATAAAAAGAGGAGAAAGTTGGAAGCTCTCCTTTTTTGTAAAACCTCGGCTACCTCCTCCCCGCTTGGCTCTTTCTATCTCTCTCTTACACACACGCACGCACACACACACACACACACACACACACACTTCTTGTTTACAGTTTACTTCAGCTGCACCTGAATGAGTGGGAGGAAGTTAAAAAAAAAGAGAGAGAAGGGGTGGAAGAATGGAGGAAGCTCTCCTTTTTTGTAACACCTCGGCTTCCTCCGCCTTCTCCTCTTCCACTGCTGACCAGGCCTGACCAAGGCACCCAGCTGGGTTGAGGTGGGCCAGGGCTGGGGCAGTGGGGGCCGGTCGCTTGCCATTTCTGGGACAGCCCCGGGGGGCCAAATGTGGGCCCTCCCTGGGCCGCATCCAGCCCACGGACCTTATGTTTGACATGTCTGGCCTAGAGATAAAGGGATAAAGTGAATTACATCTGTTTCAGCGGCTTAAGCCAAGGAAGCCGATTTCACATGTCGTTAAGCAGAGGAATGTGGGGTTGGCTGAAGTGGGCAGGAGTGGCCGTGTGAGTCCCAGCAAAGGTTACTTTTGACTTCAGGGACACATTGACTTTGGGGTGCATGGCTTGGAAAAATGTATGGAACAGGCGCCTTGGAGAATGGCGCAAGGCTGCAAAGGCCTCCGGTGTGGGGATTAATGCCTCATTTCTCAGTCGCTGCGGTGATACTGGGCTAAAGTCCAGGCTTGGGGTCAGTGGCCACTGGCTAAAATGGCTGAACATCCCAGGCCTCCACTTAAGGGCCAGCCCCAGGATTGCTGTCAATCAGGGATGCTTTTCATGGCCTGGAAGGGGCAACTCAGGCTTCCATGGGTGGCTGCCCCTGTGCATCCCACTTCAGCCCCCCCAACTCATGGGGGAGAGCCTGTGCCTGGTCTCTAGGACCAGCCCACCCCAGACACCTCCACATCCCTTGCGTGGGCCTTCCTCCACTTAAGAACCCTCAAGATGATTTAATGACTGTAAGCAGGAGTGTGGGATTGTGCTTGGTGAGTGAAGTGGCCGTGTGACCCTCACATAACCCCTACTTCCCTGGACACACCGAGATTC